ATGTTTTCCAAACAAAATTTAAATTTTTCGTTGTTATTAGACCAGATTCAGAAAAAATCCTAAACAAAATATTTAATCCACTTTAACTTTAGGTACTTCCCGAGGAAATTTCAAAATTTAGACTTAATGATTACATTTTTGAAGAAATTCATTCCAGCATATCGATATTTGGAGAAAATAAAATGATTTATGCGATTTTATATCAAAATAGAAAATTTATTTTCAACTAGATTTCAGAAATTTTAAATCTTTGTATTCAATTTTAATTTTTCAATGTTATTAAAATATGTACGGTCAGGATTTAAGCACAGATTTGGTGTCCTGAAAAATTTTCCATTAACAAAAATCCTTTGGGGAGCCTATTTCAGACAATTCCAGATTTTGGATAAAAATGGTGGATGCGCCGGGATATATATAAATTTGAAGTATTAATTTTAAGTATTTTTAGGAAATATTTATGTGAATAATTATGTGTTCGAAACAAAATTTGAATTTTTCATTCTTATTAGACCAGATTCAGAAAACATCCTAAACCAAATATTTAATAAACTTTAATTTTAGGGATTTACGAAGAAATTTCAAAATTTAATCTGAATTATTACATTTTTGAAGAAATTCACTACAGCATATCGATATTTGGAGAAAATAAAATGATTGATGCGAATTTATATCAAAATAGAAAATTTATTTTCAACTGGATTTCAGAAATTTTAAATCTTTGTATTCAATTTTAATTTTTCTATGTTTTTCAAATATGTACGGTCGGGATTTAAGAACAGATTTGGTGTTCTGAAAAATTTTCCACTAACAAAAATCCTTTGGGGAGCCTATTTCAGACAATTTCATATTCTGGATAAAAATGGTGGATGCGCCAGGATATTATATAAATTTGAAGTATTAATTTTAAGTATTTTTAGGAAATGTCCATGTGAATAATTATGTTTTCCAAACAAAATTTGAATTTTTCGTTCTTGTTAGACGAGGTGTGGCGGAAATATGGACAGATTTATTTTCGTGAAAAATTTTCCTAGGCAGTATATTTAATCCATTTTAATTTTAGGAATTTTCCGAGGAAGCCTGTTTTAGCTATTTAAATGTTTTGAAGAAAAATTGTGGATCCATCGAGACAACACATTAACTTAAAAATACTTATTTTAAACGTTGTCAGGAAATTTATTTGTGAGTAATTATAAGACGTTGATAATTACCAAAAATAAAAAACCTGATTTGAATTTTCGTATGATATTTGAATTTTTTCGGTTAAGTATTCTACTAGGTACAGTTAAAATAAGTACGAATTTGTTATCACAAGAAACTTTCATAAAATCATAAAATTATTTGAACCATTTGAATTTTTTGGAAAAAATAACCGGAGCGGCTGGTTTGCATACAATAATGAAAATATCTTAATTTATAAATATTTAAGCAGATTCTATGTAATTTATTACATTTCAGAAAACAATCCTTCCAACACATCGATATTTGGAGAAATAATAACTGATGCGAATTTATATCAAAGTAACTTTTTCTGTGTTATTAGATTCATTTTGGAGAAAACAAAGAGAAATTTTGATAATGAGAAATTTTTTTTGCTTTTTTTTCTTAATGTACATAGTATTTTTTGAACAACACGATGCTCAAACATGTTTTTAATTTCTTCTAAAGAAATAAGTATTTGCAGTTAAGCTCCGCCCCTTGGTTCACCCCGAATAAAACAAATCATCACAATTGATAGAGGGCGGGTGGGCGGGCTTACATTTTCCTTTTTTTATTTTAATATGTGTAGACTTTTTTCACAACATGCACTCAAAATATGTTGGAAAATTTGTATTAGGAAATATCGATTTTGCACATAGGCTCCGCCCCATAATTGCAAAATCCATATTGCCTTGCAAAAATGTACAATTTTAACAATGTTTTAAGTTTCTTGTTGTGAAAGATAGCTCTGTATATTAAGAAAAAAAAAAGGTAATATATAAGCCCCGCCCACCCGCCCTATCTCAATTCTGATGATATTTTTTATTCGTCGTAAGCCGAGGGGCGGAGCTTAATTTTAGAATCCTTATTTTTCAACGAGAAATTACCATGTGAAACATGTTCTCAAGTAATCGTGTTATACAAAGTATTTATTATACACGGTATTCAAAAAATGTTTTTAATTCCTTGTAAAGCAATAAATATATGATGAAAATATTTTAATTTAAACATTTTTAAAAAAATTCAGTCTGAATTATTAATTTTACAAGAAATTCCTCCCAACACATCGATATTTGAAGAAAATAAGACTAGTGCGTCTTTATCTCAAAGTAGACAATTAATTTTCTGTTATTAGAATAATTACGGAGAAAATAAAGACAAATTTTCCCATAAAAAAATTCCTCTAGGACATCTGTTTGAACAATTTCAATATTTTGGATAAAAATTTTGAAGGCACCGAAATAACATATTAAATTAAAAATATTTATTTCGATAATTTTCGGGACACTTTTTCGTGAATTACTATGTTTTACGTGATATTTCTTTCTACAACCTATCATCTGGAGCACATAGTAAAACTAGGGCGAATTTGTATCTAGGTGGATCATGCTTTTGCAACTCGATTTTAGAACTTCTAAATCTTAGCATAAAGTTTGAATTTTTCGTTCTTATTAGGCTAGATACGGCGAAAATAAGGATAGATTTGTGATCCTAAGAAGTTTTACTTTAAGAAAATCTCCTAGGCAATTTATTTAATTTATTTTAATTTTATGGAGAAAATTGGTGGATGCGCCGGGATAACATAAATTTAAATGTATTTTACTTTAAGCTTTTTGAAGAAGGTGTCTATGTTATTACATTTCAAATCGAATTTATTTCAACGCCTTGATGTCTGAAAAAAATAAAAAAAATCGTGCGAATTTATTTGAAGGCAGATATATATTTTTCAACTCGATTTCAGAGATTATAAATTTTCGCATCATATTTGAGTTTTTGTAGCACGGATTTGTCATACTAAGAAATTTTCCAATAGATAAAAAATTTATAGCAACTTATTTGATACATTTAAATTTTATGGAAAAAAAGGGGATCCGCTGGTTTGCGTACGGTTATGAGAATATTTTAATATAAGCATTTTTAAGAAACTTCTGACTGAATTATTACATTTTACAAGAAATTCCTTCCAACACTTGGATATTTTATTTATTACTCGATTTCAGAAATGTTAAATCTTTGCATAAAACGTTGTTTTTTCTATGTTATTAGATCAACTACAAAGAAAATCATTACAAACCTGTCATGTTGAGAAATTTTTCCATAAAAAATTCCCATAGAAATCTGGTTGCGCAATTTAAATGTTTTGGAAAAAAATTGTGAATGCATCGGGACAAAATATCAATTTAAAAATATTTATTTTAAATATTGTTAGGAATTTTACAAATTACTACAGTTTTTTTATCCTGAGAAATTTTCCATTCAAAAAAATTCGTAGTAATTTATTTGAGCCATTTGAATTATTTTAAGAAGACTTTAGAATGTACAGGGATAACCCATTAGTTTAAAAATATTTATTTTAAGCTTTGACAAGAAATTTCTTTGTGGATTACTATATTATAAGGAATTTTTTTCAACAACTTGATATTTGTAGAAAATTACTAAATTTTAAATTTTCTCATTAAAAAATTCGTTCTTATTAGACGAGGACGATGAAAATAAGACTAGATATATTTTCCAAAAAATTTTCAATTAAAAAAAATTCTAGGCAGTATCTTTAATCCAATTTACGTTCATCGAGAAAAATGGTTGATGCGCCGGGATATCATATAAATTTAAAATATTTATTTTAAATATTTTCAGCAAATTTCTTTATGACCCACAATAATTCATAAATAATTGCCTTGATACGTGGATAAGACAGTGAAGCTAGCCCAAATTTGTATCGACAGTTAAATTAAACCAATAATGAAAAATGTACACATTTTTTGAAATATTACGAAACGCCCATCGGACGAAACAATGCCCATTTGATGCCGAAACAACCTGTTTTTCCCCCTGTCAGCACCCCCGAACCGACTCATTTTTCCTCCATATTCTGGCTCCGCTCTTGTTTATAGCTACAAGATCAAAAAGCACACAACCAACAAAGGAAATATTGACCCAGCCATGAATCATACCTGTTACTGAAAACAAACGTTTTGTTGCAATTTTTAAAGCGTACTCGACCCCACATTGTTCCGCTCCCCTCACTCCTGCCCTCCTGACAAATAATACGAAATTTTCATCCATATTCCATCAAAATAACAAAACAAGGAAGCGGAACAGCGATTCCGACTTCCAACTTCTCATAAAAATTTATGTCAAGTGTGTCAGGTGTAAACAAAGTATTGTGGGCCACAACTCGGCGGAGCTTCACAAAACGAGACTTTAACGGCTCTTTGTGGCCTTAATTCATTTTGCTTGTCGTTTTCTTGTTGGCGATTGACGAGCGAGCTCGATGGAAACGGAATTTGGCGACTTCGCGGTAACAGTAGCCGGAGGATTTGTTGTTTGGTGTGTTTGTATCGATTTGGAAAAAGTTAAATTAGCAATAAATCGGGGCGGACTGGCGCCGTCGCCACCGCCAAACTTGGAATTTAGTGAAGTGCATATTCTGGAAGGGTTTGGGGAATTTAGTTCAGCAAGTTTTTGAAATAAAAGGAGAGAAGTGGTTGGAGCTTCAAGTGCTGGCCGAGAATTTGTTGACACAACGAAGGAATTATTTTAGTTGATATTTTTCGACAAACTTATCATACATTTAGTAGTCAAGCGTCATTAAAAGACAAATTAATGGAATGGAAAATAGAGGGATTGAAATTATATTTCACTTCCAAATTATCTTTTTTATATACCGTATCATGCTTATTTTAACTTAATTGAATATCGATACTCTAGTTATTTATAGATTTTATTGTCCATACGTAGCGCTATGTCGCATTCACGCATTAATTTTAGCCTACACTTACAAAATTACCCTTCCCACTCACCGGAATGTCCTTGAACACTTCAGGGTTAAGTTCGTCGAAAGTATTCCCACTAAGTTTGAGCACGTGTAGTTTTCCGAGTTTTAAAAACAGCCGAGGCACTAATTCATCGATCAAATTCCTCTGCAAAGTCAATATCCTTAACTCAGTTAAATACTTAAAAACACCGTTTTGCAAACTTTTTATTCTGTTATCGTCCAAATTCAACTCCACCAAATTCACCAAACCGCGGAAGTTGTGATCGAGCACAGCACCGATATTATTCAGTGTCAGATCTAGTAACTTGAGGGAGGGCACACCCCAGAACGGGTGCATCCCTATCTGGCGTACGTTGGATTTCCTGATGCGGAGCTCCTCGAGCCTCTTGAGATGCTGGAAGATGGGCGATATGGTGAGCGCGTTCCGGAGCCCGTCGTCGGGGGCCGAGATGTCCAGGACTTGGGTGGAGGCGTCCATCTCGGAGGTGGGGATGGGGTCGCGCATTCCGCCCTCGTTGCACAAGACTTTGCGGCGGCCTCTCTCGGTCACTTTGCAGCTGCAGATGGACGGGCACAGGGCGTTGCTGGCGGAGCACAGCCAGAAGAGTACGAGGCACGGTGACAGCTGCAGCCAGCGCAAAAGCATCCTGGAAAAAATAATCGAAGTCGTTATATAGAAAAAAAAATGTTTTCTAGCAATATGACATTTTTTTAACAATGGGCTTTAAAAAATGCATATTTTTGTAAAATTTTCAAATTGTGAATTAAAAAGTATCCCGAACTAGTGTTAGATGAAAATCTCAATCTGTTTTTTTCAGAGTGTACTGTAAAAAGGTAAGTAATGTATCCAAATTTAAATTTTTAATTTTTTGATATCTTATTGCGTTCAATATTCGCAGAATTTTTCTTCAACACCCAGAAGAAGACAATTCAACAAGAATGTTGTTTTGAATAGTGTGAAACATTCCTCAGTGCCGATATTTCTTTAACAAAACTGAATAACCTCAAGCTACGATCATTTTTTAAAAAGCGTACCATGAGGTCAGTTCCCGATCAGAGAACCTTAAGAAAAAAACTACGTGGACAAAGTGTTTCAAAAACAAAGCTGGCTATTCGTTAAATTATAGAGGATAATCTAGTTTATTTTCATGTTGATGAAACAACCGATTCATGTGGACGCTATGTCGCAAATTTGTTGATTGGAACTTTGACCACTGAAAAATGTGGCCCTTCATATTTAATTAGCACAAAAGGTTTGGAAAAGACAAATAATAATACCATTATAATATTTGTTCATGACGATTTAACGAAATTTTGTCTTCCGGAACCAGTTCCAGTTGAAAAAATTGGGCGGAAATTCCCTAGGCTCCAAAGTACAGTCCAGCAAATACTGCTTCTCTGAAAAATTATAAAATTTGATTTTGCGGAATTTTACTTTTTCGTGATAACCTCTATATAGTAAAAACAATATAGAGGGTACTAGTCAGTGTAATAGAAAAAAGATTTCTTAAAAAGAGAGTTGGGAGCCCGGACAAGATTTCACATTTAAAAAAAAGACACTTGGCATCCCCGAGAAGGTTTCACATTAAAAAAAAAGATATTTGGGACCCCTGAGAAGGTTTTAATTTTGTTCAGACCCCTGAAACTATTTCACATTCTAAAATAAAATATTTGGCGCCACCGAGAAGGTTATATATTTTTAAAACAGACAATTGCAACCCCCAAGAAGGTTTCACATTCTTAAAAAAATACATTTGACGCCCCTGAGAAGGTTTTACGATTAAAAAAAAAACCTTTGGGCTTTCCTAGAAGGTTTCACATTAAAAAATAGATATATATTTGGAACCCCCGAAAAGGTTTTAAATTTTTAAAAAACACAGTTGGAATCCCTGAGAAGTTTTCACATTCTAAAAAAAAAACATTTGGCGACCCTGTGAAATGTTCACATTTTGAAAAAGACAATTGCCATCCCCGAGAAGATCTTACATTCGTTGGGACCCCTGGGAATGCTTCAAGTTTAAAAAAAAAACATTTGGCATCCTGAGAAGGTTTTACATTTTTAAAAAAGAGAATTGCAACCCCCGAGAAGGTTTCACAATCTTAAAAAAATACACTTGGGGCCCCGAGAAGCTTTTACATTAAAAGAAAAAGCAGCTGGGGTCTCGGAGACGGTTTTACATTAAAAAAAAGACATTTAACACCCCCGAGAAAATTCAACATTAAAAAAATAACTATTACCCGAGAAAGTTTTACATTTGTTGAGACCCCTGAGAATGTTTCATATTCTCAGAAAAAACATTTGGCGCCCTCAAGAAGGTTTTACATTTTTAAAGAAAGCAATTAGGACCCCCGTGAAGGGTTTACATTTGTTGAGACCCCTGAAAATGTTTCAGATTCTAAAATAACACATTTGGTGCCCCCGAGAAGGTTATATATTTTTAAAACAGACAATTGCAACCCCGAGAAGTTTTCACATTCTTAAAAAAATACACTTGACGCCCCCGAGAAGGTTTTACGATTTAAAAAAAAAACATTTGGGGACTCCTAGGAGGTTTCACATTAAAAAATAGATATTTGGAACCCCTGAGAAGGTTTTCAATTTTTATAAAACACAGCTGCAATCCCTAAGAGGTTTTCACATTCTAAAAAAAAAACATTTGGCGACCCCGAGAAAGTTTCACATTTTAAAAAGACAAATGCCACCCCCGAGAAGATTTTACATTCGTTGGGACCCCTGCGAATGCTTCAGGTTTAAAACAAAACATTTGGCAACCCGAGAAGTTTTTACATTTTTAAAAAAGGGAATTGCAACCCCCGAGAAGGTTTCACAATCTTAAAAAAATACACTTGGGGCCCCGAGAAGCTTTTACATTAAAAAAAAACAGTTGAGGCCTCGGAGACGGTTTTACATAAAAAAAAGACATTTAACGCCCCCGAGAAAATTCTACATTAAAAAAAAACGATTACCCGAGAAGGTTTTACATTTGTTGAGACCCCTGAGTATGATTCATATTCTCAGAAAAATCATTTGGCGCCCTCAAGAAAGTTTTACATTTTTGAAGAAGGCAATTAAGACCCCCGTGAAGATTTTACATTTGTTGAGACCCCTGAATATGTTTTACATTCTAAAATAAAACATTTGGCGCTCCCGAGAAGGTTATATATTTTCAAAACAGACAATTGCAACCCCGAGAAGTTTTCACATTCTTAAAAAAATACACTTGTCGCCCCCGAGAAGGTTTTACGATAAAAAAAAAACATTTAGAGTCTCCTAGAAGGTTTCACATTAAAAAATAGACTTTTGGGACCCCTGAGAAGGTTTTAAATTTTTAAAAAACACAGTTGGAACCCCGAGAAGTTTTCAAATTCTAAAAAAAAAACATTTGGCAACCCCGAGAAATTTTCACATTTTAAAAAAGACAATTGCGACTCCCGAAAAGGTTTTACAATGGTTGGGAGCCCTGCGAATGCTTCAAGTTTAAAAAAAAAAACATTTGGCATCCCGAGAAGGTTTTACATTAAAAAAAAAAAAGAATTGCAACCCCCGAGAAGGTTTCACATTCTTAAAAAAATACATTTGGGCCCCCGAGAAGCTTTTACATTAAAAAAAACAGTTAGGGCCTTGGAGACGCTTCCATATTAAAAAAAAACATTTGGCGCCTCCGAGGAGATTCTACATTTTTAAAAAAGACGATTACCCGAAAAGGTTTTACATTCGTTGAGACCCCTGAGAATGCTTCATATTCTCAGTAAAAACATTTGGAGCCGTAATGAAGGTTTTACATTTTTGAAAAAGACAGTTCGGACCCCCGAGAAGGTTTCACATTAAAAAAAAAGACATTTGGGGCCCCCGAGAAAATTTTACATTTGTTAGGACCACTGAGAACGTTTCACATTCTAAAATAAAAACTCTGGTGCCCCCGAGAAAGTTTTACATTTTTAAAAAAGACTATTGCAAACCCCGAAAATGTTTCAGATTCTTAAAAGCCTACAATTTGGGCCCCCGAGAAACTTTTACAATAAAAAAAAAACAGTTATAACCTCGGAGATGGTTCTCCTAGGCAATGTATTTAATCTATTTTAATGTTATGGAGAAAAAAGGTGAAGGCGCCGCGATAACATAAATTTAAATGTATTTTACTTTAACCTTTCTTAAGAAACTGTCTGTGTTATTACATTTCAAATCGAATTTATTTCAACACCTTGATATCTGGAAAAAATAAAAACAAATGGTGCGAATTTATTTCAAGGTGGACATACATTTTTCAACTCGATTTCAGAGATTAAATTTTTTTAAATTTTCGCATCATATTTGACTTTTGTAGCACTGATTTGTCATACTAAGAAATTTTATAATAAATAAAAAATTTATAGTATCTTATTGGATATATTTGAATTTTATGGAAAAAAATGGGATCCGCTGGTTTACATACGGGTATGAGACTATTTTATAAGAAATTCCTTCCAACACTTCGATATTTTATTTTTAACTCGATTTCAGAAATTTTAAATCTTTGCATAAAACGTTATTTTTTCTGTTATTAGATCAACTACGAAGAAAATAATTACAAACTTGTTATGTTGAGAAATTTTTCCATAAAAAAAATCCCATAGGAAATCTGTTTGGGCAATTTCAATGTTTTTAAAAAAAATTGTGAATGCATCGGGACAAAATATTAATTTAAAAATAGTTATATATTGCACTGCAATCCCCGAGAAGGTTTCACATTCCTAAAAAAACATTTTTGGGGCCTCCGGGAAGCTCTTCCATTAAAAAAAAAACAGTTGTCGCCTCGCAGACGGTTTCACATTAAAAAAAAGACATTTGGTGTCTCCGAGAAGATTCTACATTTGTTGGGACCACTGAGAATGTTTCACATTCTAAAATGAAACATTTGGCGCCCCAGAGAAGGTTTTGCATTAAAAAAACAGTTGCAACTCCCGAGAAGGTTTCACATTCTTAAAAAAACATTTGGGGCCCCCGAGAAGGTTTCACATTAAAAAAAAAAGACATTTGGAGCCATCGAGGAGATTTTACAATTGTTGGAACCACTGAGAACGTTTCACATTCTAAAATAAAACATTTGGCGCCCCCGAGAAGGTTTCACATTCTTAAAAACCTACAACTTGGGCCCCCTAGAAGCTTTTACATTTAAAAAACAGTTAGGGCCTCGGAGACAGTTTCACTTAAAAAAAAAGGCATTTGGCGTCCCTCAGAAAGTTTTACGTTTTTAAATTGGAACGCCGAGAAGGTCTTACATTTTTTAGGTGCCCTGAGAATGTTTCATATTAAAAAAGAAGACATTTGGGGCCCTTGAGAAGATTTTACATTTGTTGGGACCACTGAAAATGTTTCACATTCTAAAATAAAACATTTGGCGCACCCGAGAAAGTTATACATTTTTAAAAAAGACAATTGCAACCCCCGAAAAGGTTTCATAAAAAAATATACTTGGGCCCCCGAGAAGCTTTTACATTAAAAAAAAACGGTTGGGACCTCGGAGACGGTTTCACATTAAAAAAGAGACATTTGGCGCCCCCGACAAGGTTCTACATTAAAAAAAAACGATTAGGACCCCCGAGAAGGTTTTACATTTGTTTTGACCCCTGGGAATCTTGCATATTCTCAGAACATTTGGCGCCCCC